AGCAGGTGGAGAATCTTGCCAGGACTGGATCCTTCCCTTCAAGGTAATCTGTTTCGGTCAGGCCCAGGGTGAGTCTAGAAATTCCACAGGCATGTACTCAGAGGCCTCAGGAGTCTGCCTGGTACTTTATTTTACTGGGTCTGAGTTGGTACACAGTTTGCAAAAACAAAGCCCTCCCCCCCCAACTTTTCCCTTTCCTTTCCTCTAATGGAAGAAGATTTCCTGACTCACACTACCTGAAGTTGGAGAAGGGTGAAACAGGCACTGGCTCAGCAGTCACCTTAGGAATTCCCCAGGGGTTACAGCCTTTGTGGCCTGACTGTGTTAGGAATTAGTCCAGGCCCTAGGCTGCTTTTCGTCAGCTGATGGTGAGACTGGTCAGAACTTGGGTTTCAAGGCGGTGGATTTTTCTCTCGCTCAGCTGGTCTAAATGTTACCTCTGTGGGCAGTGGCAGAATTCTATCCTGTGCTGAGTTTCCTTGTGCCAGGGCAGCCCAAAGGTTCAATGCGAAGTTTCACAGTCACTTCACTTCTTCCTGCTGTTACTAGACAAAGAGGGTCTGGCTGCCTGTCACTGTCAGCCAGTACACAGAGACAGGATAGGTCCAACAAACTTTGTCAGAAGGTTGGTGATTCTGGAGAACAGTGAAGCTAGCCCCTCCAAGACTGTTCTGTTCTTCCATTTCCAAAATCACAGTTTTATACATGAAAGTTCAAAGCAAAGATCACATTAACTCTCTTACATTTCCAATTTAAAAGTTAATGTCTTAAATCAATCCTCCTAAACTACTCCAGAGGGACATCTTTAAGGTGGGAGCTAAATTTACAAAACAATAAAAATGGGAGACAGGAGGTAAAGATCACTTAGGACCTAAAAGGACCAGACCCACTGTGTCATGTCAGCCTTAGCCTAACTGACTCCATCTTATCCTCACTACACGTACTGTCACTACCCCACACATCCCCTGCTGGGGCACACAGATACTCCAGTCTCCATCTTGCCACTGGGTGGGCTGGCTGACAGCATGGCCCTGCAGAGGAGTGGGGGCATAAACAGTGCTGGACTGTCTTTTTTGCTCTCTTTTCTTGATATAATGTTAGCACCAGGTAGCATGATCATTCATCTGATTTTTGGTTCTTCTGAAAGTGCTGGTGTGTGTGGATAGTTGTTCAATTTGGTGTTCTTGCCCAAGGTTAATTGCTGAAGGTTTCAATCTAGACATCAAGATCTTGCTCCCCCGCTAATCAGTTTTTTAAAAAAATATATCTAAAAATGCTGGCCATTAAGTAAATTGGCCTCTTTTCTCCACCCAGTGTGTTCACTTAGGCCTTCTACTGGCTATTAATACCAGTAGGATTTTAGGAATAGGAACCTTTGCCAGAAAATCAGATCAATGTCGTAGAGATGGGGGTAGAATTTGGATACAAGGCAAAGAGACTTGAAAAATCTGTAATATTAAAAGAATGTAGCAAAAGATATGGCACAATTTAATAGCCTTTTACATTTAAAAACAAATATGGATGTGTTAATTATTTTTATACAAATATGATTCACTAAAAGTTTTATTTAAATATTGTCACCTTTCCCATCTTAATCTCACTCCCACTCTGTCTCACAACATTTTTTGAATGTATCCATTATGTGAAATTTGAGACATTGTAGAATTTAGAGAGGCAGTCCAGCCTTAGTGAAAGATACAACCAAGAATAATTACCTTCATTGATGTCCTGGTTCTATCACGGTCAGTTACACAGTAATGTTGATCTTCTCAGAAATAATGTTGCAAAAAAAATAAAGTTTAAAAGCCTGGGCAGATTTAGCTGTTGGTGGATCCTGGTGTTGAAAAATGTTTCAGAGAGGGTGGTACCTATGGCTCAAAGGAGTAGGGTGCTGACCCCATATGCCGGAGATGGTGGGTTCAAACCCAGCCCCTGCCAAAAACTGCTAAAAAAAAAGTTTCAGAGCTTCTTTGATCCTAAACTTAAATTATGGGGTTTAAGGTAAAAATGAATCATTCAGATTTTAACTAGGTCAGCTGAGATTTAAGAAATCCAAATCATTAAAAGCTAATCAGATTACTATAACCAAAAAGTCTTTAAAAACAATCAGGGAGGTGCCTGTGGCTCAAAGGAGTAAGGCGCTAGCCCCATATACTGGAGGTGGTGGGTTCAAACCTGACCCTGGCCAAAAACTGCAAAAAAAAAAAAAAAGCAATCAGCAGTGTTTTGGAATATAACCTTTATATATACATATTTGAGACAGAATCTCACTATGTTGCCCTCAGTAGAGTGCTATAGCATCATACCTCACAGCAACCTCAAACTCTTTTTTTGTTTGTTTGTTTTAGAGACAGTCTTACTTTGTTGCCCTCAGTAGAGTGCTGTGGCGTCACAGCTGACAGCAACCTCCAGCTCTTGGGCTTAGGCAGTTCTTTTGCCTCAGCCTCCCGAGTAGCTGGGACTACAGGCACCCACCACAATGCAACGTCCAGCTATTATTTGTCTCAGTTTGGCTTGGGTTGGGTTTAAAGCTGCCACCCTTGGTATATGGGGCAGCGCCTTACTCAATGAGCCACAGGCACTGCCCAGCAATCTCAAACTCTTGGGCTCAAGTGATTCTCTTGTCTCAGCCTCCCAGATAGCTGGGACTACAGGGCCTGTCACAATGCCTGGCTATTTTTTTTGTTATAGTTGGCATTATTGTTTGGCAGGCCTGGGCTGGATTTGAACCCTCCAGCTCATGTGTATGTGGCTCGGGCTGGATTTGAACCCTCCAGCTCAGGTGTATGTGGCTGGCGCCCTAGTTGCTGAGCTACAGGTGCCAAGCCAACCTTTATATGTTAATATGAGAAATGGTTAAGAGATAGAATAGAAGAAGATAACTCAGATACCCAGCTCTCAAGTTTCTGGCCTAAAGAAAGACTTTCTGATAGATATCCAGTTGTGCTTGATGTGAATGTGATAATGAAATCTAAGGCTGATGTCATTCTCCCCTTCCCCAGAGAATTACACCCATTTTTCCCCTTGCTAAATTGGCTACCTCACTGTTTTGCTTCATCAAGTTGGGACATTTCTTTCAGCTGTGTCATGCCAGGATATGAGTTGTTGGCGATGTTACTATGGGAGAACCCATGAAATCGACAGCTCCCCAGAAGAAACGGTTGGACTGTGTCCCCTTCCCTGGGCTGAGCGGGTCACCTTGAGTACTCTGGCTGCTGGGACAGTTAATGTGAAAGGTTTGATTTAATTATGGTGAAACAGCCACATAAGCATGCGGCAGAATCCTGTAGCATAGGTGGCCCCGTCTGGGCTGCTTTTTGTGGGCTGTGGAGAATAGAACAGCAGATCTTTGTAGCAGCAGCCCCCTTGTTACAGACAGGGGCAAAGCCATGCCTAGTGCTAAAAATGATGACATGGCAATTCTTTCCTCCTTTTTTATCAGCTAGGTGATCATGACTTTCAGGTTTTCCCAATGTCATTCATTTGTTCCTCTCTTCTTTCTGCACGCTGTCACCTATTTAATCTTCATACTACACTGAGGAAAATCAGGCTCTCTGAGGCCAAAGTCTAAATATTTTTTACTGCTCCAGACCATTTTCTGAGCATCTTTGTTTCAGACACCTGTAAGCTGCCTGTTTAGCCCCTTTCCACTAAGAGGTGTCATCCACTCACAAAGATCTTCAGGTTGAGAGATCTCTTTGGTTTCCCAAGGACAAGGGGATGGGCATCTTTTTTTTTTTTTTTTAAAAAGGACATATAATGTACACCCAGATAACACAGGTGGCTTCAGCACAGTCCTGTTAGATAAGCCAACATGGGGATTTGGAACAAGACTTCCATGAGGATTTGAGAGATTATTAAAGGAACCTAGGTAGAAACATCTACCTAGGTTGAAAAACACTTGGCTTTTTCTCCTTTTTGTTTCCCCTAGAAACTCATTATGTATACAGTGACAGGCCCCACATATCCAGTAAAAATGGGATTTGGATGGAAATTGGATCAGACTCCGTCACTCTGGCGTAGGCTTTCTGTGTTCATGTTTAGCTTGATCACATCGGAAGTCATATTACCTGGAGGCGTGTTTCATCAGCTTGACTTCTTTTTGTAAAACCGGCTTTCCTACTCTGGTGAATGGAGTTGTGTTCATGTCTTAGGATGCCAAACTTGTGTTTGTCCATTAGCATCATTATTGACTATCATAGACATTGGATCTGAATAGGGCCAGTGTGAAGAACTGGTTGACAGAAGCAAGGATAGGGCAGGGAAGAGGGAATTATGGAAGGGGCATCCTGCCCCAAGTGCATCCTTCAACTCTGATACTTCACGTCTTGAAAGAGAACTATTTCCTAGGAGGTAGTGATGGAATTGGCATATATGACCTGGTCACAGACCCAGGGCAGTGATTTTTTAAGTGGGTGATGGTAGTATTGAAGGAATTACACTTCTTTGATGTCAGTGGTCACTGCCTTGGCCTCACAAGGGGATCATTTGAAGAGCTTTTAAAATATCTTGATGCCTCAGTCCCATCCCGAGAAATTTTGATTTAATTGGGCTGGTGTGTTACCTGGCCAGTGAGATTTTTACAGACCTCTTTAGATTAGTGTAATATATAGCTGGGATTGAGAACCACTGCTCTCACTGCCTATATCAGAATCCTGGGGAAAAGAATATGTAGCTTAAAAATATATATATTTTAAATACTTTTATTTCCTTTGAGATACAATATTTACTTTATTAAAAATTTCAAGTAACATTAAATACAAGAATGTGATTTTTTTATGTGTCAAATGGTGGCAGTTGTTAAAAAGGTTGAGAAATGAGTTTAGAAGAGAGCGAGCTCAGGTTAGTGTTTATTTTATCCATTTATTAGATTTTGGAAGAACGTGCTTCCACAGTCACATTTGTAGATGGAATCACCAAATCCTTTTCATCTTCATAGCTCAGAATACATCTGCTTCCTGATTTTATATTGTGCAATTTTGCTTTTTTCTGTTGTGCAGCTATGGGAGACATCCATTTAAGATCGACTGTTTACATGTGACACATCAAAACTGTTTACTTCAACTTTTATAGAAACCCAGCCTCACGGAGTCACTGCAAATCTATCTGCTCTTCAAGACAATACAAAGATCCTCTGAGATGTCACAGGGGAGAGGAATCTCACTCTCACATCTGGATACCATTTTCTTTTTGTCATTGGCTTAAGATTTAACTGAACCAGAAAAAGAACTACTGAAATGTTACAGTCTAACATGGAACCATAAAGGTACTGGTATGTTAGAGGATAATCCGCATGACAGATAATATGTAGAAATATCAATAAAATTAACTCACAAGACCCAAATGTAGCAAGTTTCCTAAGGGACAATAGTGGATTCAGAACTTGACATTCTGAAGCACATCCTTATTGTAAACAGTAATGCTGTATGCATGAAGCTTCTGTTTATTGTTTTCCGTATTTCAGGAAACAACATCCTACAATAGAAACCAGCATGCAGGGCTAAGGCATATAGGATTCTTCTGCAGGACTTTAAAGCTTTGAGAGGCCAATATTCCATATGCTAACTTTAAACATGTATTTTTATTTTTGTTTTGTTTTTTACTTTTCATATTTATATCAGCCTACAAGGACAACTGTATATATGTAAACATTTTTAAAACTAAAAGAAAAAAAAAAGCAGCTGTTACACACAAGTGTATTTTGCCAAATGCCTAAAAATAGTCACAATCACATCATTGTCATCCATCCAGCCGTCTTCAAAGATTCTAAGCAGATGATGTTGTAAATATAATGGTCAGTGCTGTAAATGTCTCTTCATAATGGTATTTGTCTAAAACATGTGATATCCCTTTAAACTGTGCACAGTCTGGAGGCAGTTTTACTGAGTCATTTGAGTGAGAGCGCAGAATGCCCAGCCGAAGTTCTGGCTCCCACAGCTCGCTTGAAGCAGGAGCCCAGCGGTGCAGCTGCCGTGCCACCCCGAGACACTCTGCTGCTCCTCTGCTGCTCCGTGGGAATCATCCAGCTTGCCCACGTCCTTTCTTGGGGCAGAGAGTGCCTGCCTCAGCAGCTGTTCTCTTTTGGTACCAGAGCACATCTGCTAGTCTCACCCTGGAAGCCATCGAGCCCCTCAGTTGTGTGTCCTGCTCAGATTAAGCAAGTGCACCAAAGACCCACGAGACCACGGATGCCAGCGAAGAAGTAGCTTCCAACTTGCCAGTACTCTACCTGTGTGGCCTGAAGTTTTGTTCCTTAACAAAACTTTTTAACCCCTCTTATCTATGAAATGAATTACCTGTTTTAACAAAAAAAAGTGTTGTGCTGTTGATTAAGGATATTTAATATCCTCACCACTGGGATGTGAGTCCCAATGAGTCATTCTGCACTGACTTTGAAGCAAGATGATGGAATGTTCTTCTTTCTGAGCTGGGAAGCCTTACAGTTCATAGGGGTTAATGAAATCTAAAGCCACAAAGGCTCAGCAACTGCAAAGTTACACAAACAGCTGGCAGGGGAAGGAATCTGATGTTTCGAACTATTTTTTAATCCGTAGGAAGGCTCCTTCTTTAAAACCAAAGTTTGATAGCTGTTGTAATACAGCTCTCTCTTTCCAAAAGAAGGCTACCCTGGTGAGGCTGGAAACTGATGGGGACAAGCACATGGTCTTCTGTGAAGTGTACTTCTGATTTCTTCCTCTTCTCTGCTTTTTCTTGAGAGGAATGGAATCTCCAGACCAGATTTCAGAAATACCTTCTAAAGTTGATCTCCCCCAGTAACGTCCATGGACAAAATCCATTTTATCTCCATTTGTAATTGTCTTAGATGCCCAAACTGAAGAGTCATGTTAGAAAGCAGCATTTTTTTTTTTTAATATTCTGTGTGTTTATGTCTTCTGTAAATGGACCTCTCTTCTGAAAGTCTTTGAAAATGTTTGAAAAGCAGTTTAATCATCCCAAATTACTCTGTAGGAAATAGCATTTTTCAGGACAGGAGGGGATTTCATTGTTCATACTACAGTAAAACAGTCCACAAGACCAAGTTTGGGTGAGCGCTGGGCAACATGCTGCACAGCTCAGGCCCAGGACAGAAGGGCAGACAGATTGAAAGATGTAGCAAATAAAGTGACTTTTGGCCAAGATCACTTTAATGTGCACTGAATGTTTTCTGGAATTGAGTGTATTAAAAGGCTAATGTTTATTTTGGCTATACAAAGAGTTTATAGATTTGAATGTAAGGTGCCTCCTGTAAATATGCTTCCTAGTTATAGTTAAAAGAGCCCTAATTTGAAAGAATCCACTGATAGCTACCTAAGCAGTCAACAGATTTCTGTCATCCATCCACCCATCATCTGTCCGTCTTCTCTGTCTTTCTTCACTTCAGTTATTTTTTAGATGAACATCATTACCATGTGCCTTTTGGGGGAGACATGGTTGCTCTAGAGGTATATAGTTTGTAATCATCCTCCTTAGTTATAACCTTCATATAGAACTGAATGAAAAATGTTTTTGTTTTATTTGCAGAGATTATGATTTTTTCTTACAGTCCCTTTAATGTTCTCTGCCAGGGGTCTATGCTATCTTCCATGTTTAAACATTTTTAATGCTATCTACAGAAGTCTTTCACAGATTTTTAGTCTCAAGGGATAGTTTCAAGAAGTATCTATGTATCTATTTATGGTTGGTGTTCTAGGGGCATTACCTCTAAATGGATGACTTTTCACCCACTGAGTACAGACTGGACCCAAGGCACTAAACACAAGCACAACATTGTTTTGGTTTTTTTTTTTTTTTCAAATATCTATTTTGGAGATAAACCTTGACACCGCAAAGAAGTTTGTATTGTGCAGCTAATGTTGATGTTTCCCATTTGGCTACAGGATCATTAAAAGCAGAAGAGAGCAGTTATTTGGCCTTTACGTTCCATTGTATGCCTTTTCCCACTCTCTCTAAATGAGTTTTGCGCATCTATAAGCCTGCGAATTGACAATCTGCTGCCTGAGATGTTCCATTTATTGATAGTCATTACAGTGTAGTAAGCCCTGATTTAAAGGAACATTTAATTCTCTCCACAAAGTGTCCATACGGGGGGTGTGGGATAGCAGGGATCCCTTAAGGAATAGGTTGACCGGAATAAACTGCCTTCTGCATCTTGCAGCTTGTTGTTTAGATGGGAAGTGGCATCTTCCTCTGAACTTTCCAAGCTAGAAAATGATCCCCAGGACACATGCATTCTGTGGAAAGGAATAAATTAGTACTTTCCAGACAGTGCAGCCTAATGAGGGCTTTCCATTTGCTGTAGTTATTGTTTTTTTAAAGAAACCCAGCACCTCGGTTAGGAATAGCCTATCGTTAGAGTTGTTCCCTAAAAAAAATTGACAATAAAGCAAATGTGGGATGAAAATGCCAAACTTATTTTTAGTTTGATACTGACAAATTATTTCAATTTGCTTTTTTAAGTGATGCTATAGTTTCTTTTTTCCCTCTTGCTTTAAAAAGGCTTTTAAAATTGTGTTTGTATAGAAGGTTAGTCTGGCATAAAATTTCTGAATATAAGATTAACAGGGTTTCTAAAAGAAGTTGCTGAATGATAAAAATTAGATATTCTGTGTATTTCCAGAGAGGGACCATGTATATTTGAGTTTCATAAAAGGCTTACATGTCTTTCTCTTCTATTGTTTCGTACTTATTTGCATAATTTAATCATGTCCATTGTCCCAGATCTCTTATGGCTACCTTATCTGTTACCTTTCTTTGGATTTTACTTTTTATAGTTACCTTTGGGCCAGAGGAAATGTGGTATTTATATTCACTTCTTTCAGTGCTTCAAAATGGTTCATTTCATCCATTCATGTCCCGTCATTACATAGTTCTATTTTAATCTACATATGTGCCTAAAATAGTGCTTTGAATATTTTTTCTGTTATTATATTCAATGTGACAATAAACCCTTATTAAAGAATTACTTTATTTAACTTAAAGGAAAGGGCTATTGGCAGGCTATTGAATGTCTCGCACAGTACGAGGGAATGAGAGGGGCAAGACAGCTGCCCACACGCCTGAGTGGCCACCATTGCCCCTGGATGCCCCAGATGGTAGCATATTGTAAATATCATCTACCAGTTGTTAAGTTGTCATGAATTTTCCATGAAATACTTTCACTTCCATTTGCAACATAGTGTCTACATTTTATGCTCAGTTATCTTTTTCCTTTCACTTTTGTTTCCCTCTAAAATTGCCACCTAAATGCCTCTCCCCCCTTAAATATGTATATGAAGGCAAGATAAATTTCTCATTCTCATTATATTAGACTTATAAAAGCAGCAAACATTTCTGTGGAATAATAGGGTTTAATTTGGGGCTCAGACATTCTTTTCCTTCTCTGAGTCATTCTCTGATTTTGTAGGCAACAGCTTTCCTCCCAGCATCGGAGAACTAAGGATTCATATAAACAACTTCTTTGCTTTTTGTGTTGTGAGGTGTCCAGTCTGTTCTTGTGAAGATCGGCTGAGAGGCAGGAGCACACACCCAGGTGTGTGAGCAGCAGTGCTGTGCTGATAAAGTACCCCTGTTGGGAATTGTTGGCACATGCTCTTGGCATATGCTCTGGGGAGCAGGTGCTTTAATTCCAAGAGGAGCTTTTCTACAGTATCTGCAGATAGAGCAAAGATTCAAGAAGACTTTAGAAAACAGAAGATAATATTTCCATTTACATTTTACTCCAAAATGGAGCATCTCATGGTTGGTTGTAAGCAGAAAAACAAAACAAACATTCAAAAACAAAAACTTGGTTGATCAGTGATGATATTTGGGGACTTTATATTCATAGCTTACAAACATGCTCATGATGAGAGTTGCAAGGCTTTTCCAGAACTTCCCTACTTTTTTTTTTTTTGAAACAGTGTTTCACGTTGTCACCCTCAGTAGAATGCTACGGCATCACAGCTCATAGCAACCTCAAATTCTTGGGCAAGCAATTCTCCTGCCTCAGCCTCCCAAGTAGCTGGGACTACAGGTGCCCACCACAACACCCAACTATCTTTTTTTGTTGTTATAGTTGTCATTGTTTTAGTTGGCCCAGGCTGGGTTCAAACCCGTCAGCCTCATTGTAGGTGGCTGGTGGTCTACCCACTGGGCTATGGGCACTGCTCAGAACTTTCCTACATTTAAAGTCCCCACCTCCGACCCAATCAGTAGCTGTGCAGCTGTTTCCTCCTCTGGGAACTTTCACTGTTGTGGAAGCCAGTCCTTTCTTTGGCTAAACTGGCACTTGGGACAACCCAAGGGGTGCAGAGCAGGGGAGCAGGGGTGGCAGGTCTCTCTTTAAGTCTTCTAGGTGCACTGGCATGGATTATGCAACTTTGAGAGTCACTGAGAGATGGGTCCTCAGAATGTGAATTTCAGGATGGCGGGGAGATAAGAAGAGTTACCTTTGAGAGGTTATGATGAGGCATTTGGTCCTGGCATAGGAGCAAGATGGACAGCTGCACGAAGATCCCTGAAGCCAAGCGTGTAGAAGAGCAGCAGGTGGTCACTGTGGGTGTGGTGGGAGAGGAGCTCTGCATTTTCACTGAACACTAGCTCTGTAAATACTTGATGGTGTAGCCCACGATGGGCCAGTCACTCCTGCCTCGTGTGTCCCTGTTGCATTGTTCATAGAACCTGTATCAGACTGGGAGGTGCTTGAAGGCTAGCAGGGTTTTGGTAAGGGGATCATTATTTCATGTTCTTAAGTATCCTTGATACTAAAACCAGGCAAAATGTGTTTTGTTTTAGAAAAAGGCATACAGTGAGACAAGGCAATCTTGTTAAGATAATGCACATACAAAATCATCAATAAAGTTACAAAGAGTTTGAGGGTTTTTCCTCTTGTTTGAAAAAACAGTATATATATAAAATACTGATACTGCATTCACCTTAGGGCTTAACCTCTTGTGAATTTTTAGGCTATGATTTTTGTTTTGATGGTTAAGCTCTAACAATAATGCAAACAGTCCCAAATCTTTAAAAATAGCGGTGCTAAATTATACCAGATAACACATATAGAAAGTGCTGATATGAATTAATACTTAGAAATAATACAAGATTTCCTGCTAAATTATACATGTGTATCACTGCCTAATTAGAAACCCTTTTATTTTCTAATCCAGCACAAAAGAACTGTGATTCTACAACCAGTTTTTTTAAAGGATAAAAATGACCTAGTACCTTTGTTTTATATGGAAAACATTTTTTCTTTAAAAACTATCTACAAAAGAGGTTTATTCAGAATAACAAAGCATGTACTCCTTTTTTAAACTACTGGGAGACTGGCCCCTCCAAAAGGCTTTGTTCAGACACTTGGGTGTTCTATCATTTTCTGTTAGCCGGTGTCGAGTCTGCGCTAGTTTTCCACCTCAGTCACCTTCCACAGGCAGTGGCGGCCACCCCAGCAGGAAGTGTTAATAGCAGCATGGTTTCCCTTTTGGCAGTCAGGTAATCATGTGTATATATTCAGTTTCACCTCATTTAAACATTTCCCTGCTACTCTGCACTTGAGGTTCTTAAGCTATTTTAAAAATTTTGGCAAACACCAACAGAAATGTACATGGCAACTGCTTTCTTCAGCAAGCGTGATTTGTTTTATGGCTGTTCAGGTTATAAAATTGTTCTCACATTGTAGGTAAACAAAATCTTGCTGTTTTTAAAGGTCACTATATCTTGAGGTTCAAATTTCTGGCACAATTTTATTCGTATTCACTAATAAGATACCATGGTTTTCTATGTTACTCTCATTGTAACATCAATAAAGTGACTTTCAATAAAAGATTTCTGTTATTTTGATGCATGGCTCTTTCCTCTCTCTCTCTCAGCCAGTTTCTGTCAGAAGCTTTGTAGGGGTACTATTAGGGTTTTTTTCCCTGTCCCAGAAGACCATTAACATGATGAGAAATATAAATCCTTTGTGAAGTCTGAGGCCTCAATTTATTAGACAAGTTTCCTTATCTAGATGGCAAAAGTTGTTTCCTCTACTTGACCCACTTGCCACTCATAACCTTTCTCTCTCACCCTCACTGGGATCAATTTCCTATATCCTGTCCCCTTGCCCAGGAACTGGTGCTTAATTAATAAGGTCACCTGGGCTGGCTTCTAAAGCACTGGGTCTGGGTGGGTTCAGATTAGGTTCTTGAACTTTGGCCTTTTCGTTTTCTGCCACGCAGTCATTTTACCTGTCAGTCATTATCCTGGCATTTAGAGCTTCCTTGCCTTCAGCTCACAGCCACCAGAGAAAAAAAGCAGGTGTAAGTAGTCAAGGTATGTTTTAATGTGAGAAAAATAGGAGGAAGTCATTGATGATGGGTTTGTACATTTATTGGGAGATTTAAAAAGTGTATAGTGATGACATACAGATCCATTTCTTGTGTTTTTATTTTAGGCATATAGTAATTGATTTAAATGAATACTGAAATAGTAATACACTCGGCTGTGCCAAAGCAAAGTCTAGTTCAGAGACAGCAGAAGTTTTAGCTCACATGCCATCCTGTGGGCTGATAGTACCTACCTACTTCTAGAACATCATCCTGAAGTACAGACTGAACTCGAATTTAGGTCAATACGAGAACTTAAATTTTAAACTGTTGTGGTGCAAATCTATATCAGCTATCCCCAGAAAGCAACAGGCCTCTGGCAGTCACGTTCCTTTAGAAGTACATGAAATGTGTTATAAGTACTTTATAAATCATGATTCTCTTGAAGCACAAGACTAAAAGCAGACATCTCCAAAATAAAATTAAGTACAAAGCTGGAGTGATCTGAAGAACTTAATTCTTCAAATAACTGAAGTATTCAAGTTTGAGCTCGCAGCTTTACCATGCTCTAACTCAGCAGTTCTCAACCTGTGGGTTGTGACCCGCAGGAACTGTATTAAAGGGCCACGGCATTAGGAAGGTTGAGAACCACTGCTCTAACTAGATGCTATAAGAAAAAATAATGAGACCAGGAAATGTCCTTAAAGTAGGAGGTAAAGCTGCACTGCAAGTATACAATGAATGAAACACAGAACCTAACATAAAATAGAAATGAGGGAACACGAGATTCACATGTAAGAGAAGACTTTGGCTGTAATTAAAAAAGGGAGATGGATACATCAAATTTGTCAAAGGGAAGGAAAGTAACTGCAGGAACCTACTGCATGCTCCATGCATGCAGACTGTGCTCCATGCTTCTGGAAAGAAGTAGTAAATGCAGGAGGAGGTAAGAAGATTTGTTGAAGTCTCAATAATTAAAATTAAACAAATGATTCAAGCAGGATAGTCTTATAATACTTTATCACTTACCTCAAAGCAAATTCAGAATCTTGGGACTTTCAGAGATAGGGAAGGTTCAAATATGGCCTATGACCTTAGGTCAGTAAAGGCCTTCTTCCTTCCCACTTACTTTGTTTAGGAAATTACTATTTCCTTAAATTATGATTTCCTCAGAGGATCTTGGTGAGATCCTCTGCAGATCTCAGCAGATGCTGAGACTCTGAAGATGAGCTCCCTGCCTCTTGATCCTCTGAGCTACTTGTGGCCCATTTCTGAACAGACTAGGCTCAAGCAAAGCTTTGTGGCTTGTAGACAATATATGGGCACGAAACCTAGAGTTACTGTGTGATATAAGCAGGTTGCATCACATTCTGATATGTTACCTGGACATAAGTAGCTGACCCAAGTACATAACTATATGTTAGGGTTGAATAAATACTAAATGAATAAATATATTTTAGCAATATTTGAAAAACTGTATTAGTGAAATGAAGCTAGAGATGCTTAGAAAAATGTTTATTTTCATTGGTTTACAACTAATTGTTCCCTTTAATGGTAACTCAGATTGTGCTAGCACAGAGAAAATAGACTAATTTCATTTTTTGTGTTAAACTTTCTTTTTTTATTAAATCATAGCTGTGTACATTAATGCATTTTTGTGTGTGTGTTAAACTTTCTTGCACACACATATACACAAAACCAAACCAAGCTAGTTATGAACATTTTTGGTGTTTGCCACATCAACACACTTTTTCATGTTCAAAACTATCGCAAAAGGTAAGCATTTTTTCAAAGATGGGGACTGAGACTCTTGAGGGTATCTAAAACGACCAAACCATATAGTAAGAGACAAAGCCAGCACTGGAATCCAAATCTTACTTGAAAGCCCATGGCTTAAACTTATAAAAAAATTTCTTCCATGACAGATGTAATACTCGCTTATAAAAGAATATTTGGAAAAGTAGTAGAAAGGGAGAAAATGAACGCGAGATTCTGACTCCCAGTGGTGCTATGTCAACTTTTAGGTACACTCACTCTTTCCAATCTTCCTGCTGTGTATATATTTTAAGGCATGAACATACAGCATATCAAATGGATGTATCAATATTTTAAAAATTAGTATCTTTTAAAAGGAAAACATATATTAAAGAAAATTTGGAAAATACTGAAATATATAGAAGGAAATTAAAGTCACCTAGAATACCATTAGCCAAAAATAACCATAGTTAATGTTTTATATATTTCCTTCATCTTTTTATTAATTTTTAAATATAGGTTAGTTTATAATGTACAATATTTTTAAGTATAGTTAACAAAGATTTAAATAGATGATAACGGGGGGGGGGCTCTGATGACAGTAACTGCCATTCAAATTATTCAATAGATTTTAAAGAGGCAGAAAATAATCATTCACATTCTCTTGTTCATTCATAAGGCTATTAAATTCCTGTAAGTCTTAAAGCCTGTCCTAAATTTCCACTGAGGAGAAGCCTGACAGAAATGACCACCTTTTTTTTCATCCAACTGAGTCTAAATTATTTATATAATACAGATAAAACTTTTAATATCCCGTGAAAGCCCCTCCAAGAGAGGAAAGATAACAGGTATAGTCTGATTAAAAGTTTGTAGTATCTTACAGTGAAAAATAATATGCCTTAACCGTTTTGCATACTTACATTTACATAAAATAGGGTTAGTAACAAAATGAGGCATGATCGATCATGGCCCAAGGAAGTTCTAAATGGTGTAAAAGATCTTATATTATTTAAGTTACAAAGAATTTATTATCAAAACTAAAAACAAAACTTCAGTTGTACATAAAGGAATAAATTTTTCAATCAGCTACTAAGGGAAAGTGGCAATGCAAGTTTACACACGTTACTGCAGGCAAAGAGGAAGGGCGAAGGAGAACTCCAGTTGGAATGTCGATTATATCCGCGGCTTCCTTCTTGATTTAAACACTCATGACACACTGAATGAACTGAAAGAGAGAAAAGTCGGTGATATACTACTGACCTCCAAACACTTAGTATATCAAGCGTATCTTTACCTAGCTTATGTTTTAATTTTCAAATTTGAATGGTAGGTACAAACAACAATACAATTTTCTATGATACAAGTGAGGGAATGATAGATGAGAAGTTTCATTTTTTAGGGAAGCAGTCGAATAGAAAATCCAGTGGGATGTTCACATAGAAACTTCTTACAGGAAACAGATGTATGTATTCCTCCAATGGAGAAAGAATTATTTAAATGCCAAATAAGTCTAAGACTCTAGAAATGGCTGCAAAGGTCCTCACAAGTAACTAGAATTTATGCTGTCCTATCACACGAGGACTTCCAAACTGTAGAGTATTATCTGACTACTCCAGTGAACCACTTTTAAACAGTTTCTTTTCATAAAATCTACTTTATTAAATCAAATCCTACCATACAAATATGGGTTTGCACAGAAACAGAACAGCTGAAATAGCGGAAACTCAGAAACCTTGAGTTTAGAAGCATTGATATTTGCTGGGAAACGTTGGCTTCCCCACTAAACACACAGCAATAGATTCTGCCTTTGTATCAGTTTTCTTTTTTATTTTCCCAACACTAGTTAAGATTCTTAAGGTACTACTAATCCTTGTAGTTCTTCCACAGGGCCATGCTGATTATACCTATTTTAGAGAAAAGGACACTAAGGATCGTGATGTTTAGAAATGTTTTAAGATTACTGAGGCCAAGACCATGCTCTTTCCATTCTCCACATAGCCTCTGGATCTTTGGAAATAGTGGCAGGACTGTCAACTAAGAAGTAAGGCACAGTAAAGAGATCACACGAAGAAATAAGCATATGCACACACTAAGACTTTTTAAAGTCTACTTATAGAATTGTAGCAGCTGCTTAACTAAAAATATGTGGAACTTAAAATTTTTTGCAATGGAGAAACATTTTAGAATATCTAGTGATTTTGTTTATAAAAGTGATTTTTTAAAATCAGTGGCTAAGCAAAAACTGACCAAACAACTAAATGTTTCTCTAGCTTTGTTATGTACATCCAACTAATGCCATTCAAGATGGCCCTTGGTTAAGTTCACACTAGGTGCATGGTGTACCCTACCACATTTACATTGTTCTTTAGGAAATAACTTGTTTTAAATTGGGATTTAAGTTGGTACCTGCCTTATGTTCTCAATGAAGAACACAGGTATGCAAAGTACAGCTTTGACCTATTAAAACTGCTTCTCAATGATTGAGATGGTTTGCTTATAGAAAACAAAAGCAGACACAATATCCACATAGTGGTTTTCTAGGACAAATATAAATCAAATAGTAGTCTCATTATGGATGAGACTAATGAACGAAATTAATAAATTCTGGATGATAACTCCTTCTGATCATTTAATCCCTGCTTTCTCCAGCATCTTTTACATGTTTTTAATAGCTAACTTCAAAAGGAATGCCCATCTTGTGTACATCTTATTTTATCTACTTTGCTCTTAATTTACTGACACTTACGTCATCATATGGGAAATTCACAAAACCTTGCTGAGCAGTATCCCGTCTTCGAAAGCTGTCTGTAAAACACCACCAATGTATGTTATTTATCTAAATAGTTTTTCTAAAATCACTATAGTTAATTTTTGGCACTGAGTTCAAACTGAAGTAACATTTTAATCCTATAACGAGTCAATAGAAACAAAAGACCAAAGAAAAGAAGCCAACTATATAAATACTGAAAGATGTAATATGCAAGAGTAATAAAATAGGCAGAAGTTGGCTAGCAGTCTTTTTCAATGTGGAGCTGGAAGAAAATACTTTATCCTAACCCAAAATCAGTAACAGGTGTGCAACTTCTGAGGTCCTTACGAAAACATGGAATTTCAAACTTCTTAATAACACATATATTGTCCAATTAGGAAGTAGATGAATAGTACCCCTAATAGGTGAACTAGGCTATGATCAAATAGCCTACTGATTTTAGCTCTGACCTACTGAAAAGGATTTAATTTTATTCTTTTCGATACTTCGTATTCTAAGGAGCAGTCATAATCAAAATCTGACAAAAATGCACAAAATTACCTGCTTATGTTTTGGAACATTTTAGTACAATTTATTTAAGCTTATTTAAATAGCAAATAAGTAATCTAAAATAAATTCTGAAAAAACAAGATTCTGCTAGTTATGCTTTACAAAATGTTAAAGAACCACTAAAATAAGAAAACCCCAGACTGTTAAGAATAAAAGTTCAGAAGCCCTGAGAAATGAAATAGGTGTCATAGAAACTGTCTTCTTGGTGCTGACGTGACCTCACAGAACACACCTGTAAGAGCCCGCAGTTTCACGCAGCAGGCAATGTAGTCATCAAAGGTGATCTTTCCATTGGTGCTGTATCGTTTTGCAATTGAATTCACAGCCTGGGGACTCAACCTAAATCC